GCCATTCAGGCCATTCCAAGGGAAAGAAATCGACACAGAAATCAACGAATGTTGAAATCGAAGCTGGTTTCGCAGGTAAAACAAACAGGGTAGTTAAACTTCATCGTGGCAAGACTCAGATTAGCCGACAAAGAGGAGATACTGCAGAAAGCAAAAGCCAGACATGCAAGCTTCGATCAGTAGTTTGACGACACTCCTCAGTACGCTTTGCTTTTTCCCGACTTCCGAGAAGTGGTTAATGTTCCCTGGACAAACGAAAAATTTCAACTTTCCTCATACAAGCAAGCAATCAGCAAAGAGTTTAAGCATTTGACATGTCGGATGAAAGCGACAGCGAAGCCATTGCCAACCCTGTCAAAGAATCGCAGTTGTGCGAATTTTTCTCTGGTGCTTCGAAGAGAGAGGCGAAAAGAGACTTAACCGGGAGCTTGGATGATGGTAATGATGATAAGGAAATGAGGAAAATGGATAGGTGCCCTTGGGATGCCAGTGAGTCTGGTACCTCAGATCAAGCTGGGGATCAAAGGACTGGTAGGCAACTCTCATTTTTTAATTTTTGTTCTAAGACTAGCTGAAGGTCGTGGTTCAAAGTGCGAAGTTTCAGAATTTTGTCATTTCGAGGCTTTTAGATAAAGCTTTTCAAGAGCTTTCTTTTAAAAAAAAATTCCACAAAAAAATATTATTGCAGTACAAAGTTATTGGACGCTGAAGTTTACTACACGTTGTTTTTATTACCCTTTGACAAGTCCTGTCATTTTGGAGTAACTTGTATGAAGAGTCACATGGTATCGTGTCATTTTATCACGTGAAGCTATCACGCAATACGTTCGATAGATTGGTTCAAATGCCTTCAAAGAAAGAAGAGGTCGTGTCATGTTCTTTAAGTGGGGTAGGGGGTCCTGGATTCTATGAAAACTGCAGGGTCCTGGGGTGTTGAAAACATAAGGGTCCCCTTTCTTTTTGACAAAAGAACATCATCTGCTGGTCCTTCACTTCGCACCCAAAAGAGCGGCTCCCAATTTCTTCTTTTTTGTGAATATTCACTCACTGAAACTTGCTGATAACCCTTCCACAGACCCTGGGACCCCTACCCCGGGCCAACCACTAATCCCATCTAATGCGTCAAGACATTGATTGCTCGATCGATCGATCAATCAATCAATCGATCAATTTTAAAAGATTGTGAATTAATTATATGTGGTAACCCTTCTGAACTGTATGTTTGTTATGTGTTATGTGTTCTGAACTAGTATGTTTGCTATGTGTTGTTACAGTCTCGAAACTCAGGGACAGACAGAACATAACTTTTGGGAAGGGGTAGGGGTGGGGTGGAAAGTTTTCCAAACAATTGGTCTAGGCTTTTTTTGCTTTTGCAAAAACTAATTCTTTTAGGATTTCCTTTCCTCCCCCTTCCCCCTCCCTTGAAAATAATGGTCAATTCTGTACTGAAGTGATCAGACATGCAGGCTTGAGTTGATGTGACAATGCTATGTAAATGATTATGCTGACTACATTTTAATACAGAAGCAAGTGATATAGAAGCTTTAAAAGAAACCTTCCCATTCATTCATTCGTTCATTCTTTATTTACGCCTATTCTACTAAAAATACAACAACGAGAAAGAGAAAAAGGAGAAAAAAAAGAAGAGAGTTCCAACTATACATGAATTTACACAAAGCAGTGGAAAGAGTGCGTAGTAGCCAAAGGAACCAAGCTTTCGAGTTGGCCACTACCACAGAGCAGTTACGGATGGGTGAAAGTTAAATACACTTAAGGAGATAGCACATATACTAAATAGTTAAAATAGTAAAATAGAGCTCTATGATAGGTTAAAGTTGTTCAAGATGTCTGCCTGCCAAGTAGGAAGAGTTTATATTCTTTTTTAAAGCTTTTGGCAGGGAGACACTTTATTTTAATAGGTATCGTTTGCCAGATCTGTGATGCCACCACACTAAATCTTGCTAGACCATAATTGGTTCTAGAGAATGGTCTGTACAAGTTTTGATTAGTGGCATACCTAGTAGAGTAATTATGGACAGCTGAAGCTGGTTGGGCNGTATTACCAACTTTGACATATTGCTTACGCTTAGTTATATAGCTCGAAAACCATGCATGGGGGACTCCTCGGATCCCATATTTGTATAATTTTCCTTAGAGAATATGATGGTTAACTGTGTCAAAGGCCTTAGAAAAGTCTAAGAATATACCACATGAAATTTGTTGACTGTCATTAGCTGACTTGAAGTTCTCTACAGTTTCGAGAATTGCATATTCCGTGGAATATCCCTTCCGAAAGCCAAATTGATAGTTAAAAAGTAGGCATTCTTTTTCTAAACAGGACACAAGCTGGTCATATACTAGTCTTTCCTGTACTTTACTGAAGGGAGAAATAACAGCTATTGGTCTATAATTACCTAACTCAGAGATAAAATAAGCGAAAACAGAAAACAAAACCAGGAAACTATGGAATCTCGTAAAGAGTTTGTTACGTGACGATAATGTACCATTAATCACGTTGAACATGCATTTGCGATCCCGAGTATAACTATGAAATGAGTCTCTGAACTGCTTTTGTCCATTCCAAGTCACAAAGCAACAGGTGATGATGCCATCAGTGCCAAGATTTTAAAGATTGCTGCTCCTGCCGTACTACCATCTCCGAATAGACTGTTAAATCTATGTATATCAAATAAGGTCTTTCCATCTACCTGGAAAGTAGCTAAGGTAACGCCTGAGTTTAAAGGAAATGGAAGCAGATCAGACTGTAACAGCTACAGGCCAATCTTAGTCCTGCCAGTCTTGTCTAAGGTACTTGAAAGACACATTTGCGAGCATTTGTGTGACTTCTTGACATCAAACGAGATAATGTATAAACTCCAATCAAGGTTTAGGAAGTCGTCCTCCACTGAGGCAGCTTGGATTCGACGTATTAACGAGCTTTTACTCAGTCTGGACATGGAAAATGTTACTGGCCTGGTGATGATTGACTACAAAAGAGCTTTCGATCTTCTCGATCATACGCTCCTTTTACGGAAGGTCCGGGCTACTGGTATCGATAATGATTATGTTTCACTCTTTGAAAGTTGTCTTAGTCATCGTACGCAATATATAAACAATCAAGCTGATGTTGGTAAAGTTGCACAAAGGACCACAGACAAAAAAATGGTACTTAACGAGTCCAAAACTAAAACTACGTAAGTAGCTAGCAAACGTCTGCATAAGAAGATGAGCAGCACCTCACTCACTGTCCAAGTCAACTTAGTCGAACTCGTACAAGTACAGTCTCATAAACTGTTAGGTGAAACTATTGACACGGCTTAATTTTAATGAGCATATTGATAATCTATGTAAGAAGCTAACACAGCGTATTGCTGTTTTGAAAAAAATCAGGCGTCAATTACCTTTAGATCAACGAGTTCTTTTTTAGAATGTCATGATAAAACAAACCATGATGTATGGCTCTAGTGTATGGGTATCTACATCTGTTTTATAATTTAAATAAGGTCTTTAGGCTACAGAAGCGTGCCGCACGCGTTATTCTCAATGCTGATACTAGAGCAAATAGTGTAGATCTCTTTGGAGAACTTAATTGGCTATCTTTTTTTCATGAATCTAAGATTAATCACTGCGCATTAGTTTATAAACGTTTGAACGGGGTGTTTCCCGATTATACGTTAGAATTAGATTATACGTTAGAATTAGATAGATAGATAGATAGTTTATTAGAATATCGAACATGGCAGTCCGTAGACTGAATTGCGTTACAATTACTTAGAACTAGGAATAAATGAGTTCCGAATACAAATTGAAATTATAATAAAACCATAAATGCGAAAAACTCTCTATATATGACTATGTACAAACTAGTCTAAGAAAAAAAAAACTTATGTACACATACTTGGAATAAAAGTGTTCTTAAAACGATTTGTATGTGTACGGGGCATGGCACAAGCTCTGGACTGTCTTAGATTATATCTGTGTTCTCTCTTAGGAGGTAAGACAGGCACGAGTTTGTGATCCGGGCGTGACGTGATAGACTCGAAAAGCTTGCTACACAGAGCCACGCGTCTCGCGTGCAAGGTTACTAAGTCGAACCTGGCCAAACATTCGAAATATGACGCATAAGGACAAATGATGGAGAGCGCTCTCTTTTGCACACGTTCAATGTCGTCACTGAGATACTGTGGGAGCGCGTGATGGAAAACTGGCGCACAGTACTCTAAAACAGATCTTATCACGGTGCAATAAAAATTTATAATGTCGCTCAGTGGAACGTTGGCGCGCTTTAGAAGAACAATAAAATAAAGGCGCTTGTTCGCTTTCTTAATGCACTCTGAGATATGTTCGTTCCATTTTAAATCTGAGCTAATAGTGACTCCGAGGATTTTAACACTATTTGATACTGATAGTTCCTTACCATTAATCACAATTGGTGGAAATTTGTGAGTGTTCCTTTTAAAGTCAGTGCGCATCTCCTTGCATTTATCCGCGTTCAGTTCCATCCTATTTTCGATCGACCACGCCTCAACAGCGGAAACTGCGCTTTGTACATCACTGGTCAAACCTCGCGGTATCGTTTGGGCGATAGTCGTGTCGTCTACGTACTTCCAAGTGAGCGCGTCGACCTCAAGATCGTTGATCATTAATAAGAACCACCAGGGACCAAACTTGGTCCCCTGTGGTACCCCTGCGGGGACTGAGCCCCACTCTGACCTGCAGTCTGATGACAACCTGACACGTTGTTTCCTGTCTGACAGAAAATCCAGCACCCAGACGCGAACCCACGGTGGCATGTCCAAGGCTTCGATCTTTCTGGCCAGCAAATGGTGATCAATAAGATCAAAAGCCTTACGAAAGTCGAAAAANATATTCATGTAGTTGGCGAAATAATACGGCGATAAGAGAGAGGGCTTCACTATAGAAATCGGCTAGTTATTCATAAATTTGACACCCGAGGGACACCAACATGGCGGACACTAACTTCAGCAAAGCTTGTGACGTCACCTGAAACCCAACCATAGGAGTTGGTAATGCTTCATGGATTCTAAGAACACAGCGTTGATGGCGTTAGCTAGTTCAACGTCACTTAGGTGATCGAAACTGTCCCCGAGCTGAGGGTTGGAAAGGAGACTTTCAGAAGATGACGCAGGATTCATACCGGCGATTCGTTTAACTGCGCTCCACCACTGCGAGGGCTTGATGTTCTTTAAATTATTCACTTTGCTTGCATAGTATATACTGCGAAGTGACTTACGTGTGCGGTTGACGTCATTTCGATATCGCCGGTATTGATCCATGTCTCCATTATGGAAGGCGTGTTGACGGAACTTAATGAGGTTCTTGAACCGCTCAGTAACCCACGGGGGATCATTCAGGTGAAGTCAGACATGTATAACCGGCATTAAGTGGTCGAGACCAATTTTGATGAAATCCGTAAACAGCGCCAATTTAGCCTCGCAGTTAGATGCTTCGCTAACCACTGACCAGTCGATAGACGCGAGGAAATGCCCAAACTCGGACGTGCGACTGGCCCGAGTGTCCCGCTTGGAAAGGATTCTTCTACTTGGGCCTTAACTTGGAGCACAAGTTGTTGGGTGCACGAAGACAACATTGTGATCCGATAAACCAAACGGCGGTAAAATCTGAACGGAATTTATATCGTACAAATCTGGTTGGTTGGTGAAGACCAAGTCCAGGATCTGATCACCCCTAGTGGGCTTGCTGACCAATTGCCGCAGTCCGAATTGTGCAGCTAAACGATTCAACTTGAGCCGATTGAAATCGCCGCAGAGTAGAATCCCGCAACCTGGGAACTCTCCCTCAACAGTAGTCAAGGATGCTGATAGATAGTCCAACAAAGCAATGTCTCTGGCGCTGTCGTTGAAGAACGGATGGTATATCGTGGCCGTGATAACGCAGGGTGTCCCACGCGGGAGTCTTTTTGGTCTTAACCACGCCCAAAGAACTTCGTGCTCAGGGTCTTGTAAGTGATCAAGAGATCTATACCTGATCGAGTCCACTATAGAGAGCCCAATCCCTCCGTGAATGTCGGTGGTGCGGTTTCTAGAAATAAACGAGTAACTGGGAATGTGGAGGTGGTTTCTGCTGATGGTGTCCCTCAGCCACGTTTCGGTAATGAACCCTAAATTTGGTTTGTAGTCCAAGATGGTAGAACGAGCTTCGTCGATCTTGGGCGCCAGAGACATTGTATTTGCAACCATCAAGCTCATACCAAACACGCTACGCGATTCAATGGGACGATCCGTGATGACTGGAAAAGTATTGTCGTCAGTCCGAGAGTTTGAAGTGTTCGTTCCGTTCTCAGGCAACACCGGCGGAACGGAAGGGTTGTTTGTTTTGTTGGTATGAAAGGTGTTACCTTGAATATTTAATAAGCTCGACGAGCGGTTATGCAAATTACTAGATTCGTGGTCCAGTGCAGCAATTTGGTCAGAACCCATCGAATCATCTTCATTTGGAGTTGGAGAGACGTTGGCACGGAATTGTCTTGCAGTTTCTAGGCGATACACTGTTACCTCGCTTTCTGCGACCGCCACGGCAGCCCCGACGTGTGGATTTTATGCGAGTGATACCGTGCTCAGTGAAGCGACGCCACAGGAGTGGACTCAATAAAGCCGGGGAAAACGACGATAACTGTTGAAGTACTGATCTTGAATACGTCAAAGCCATGTTCTTGGGTTTAGACTAGATTTGAAACTTAAAATATTAATAAATCTCTCTAAAAAATAGAGGGAAAACATAGAGCGTGAAAGGTCGTGTGCTGCCAGCGAGGCGCTCTCCTGGGACTGCGCTCTCCTCAAACGAAACATCGGGATACGTTGTACTAAAAGACAAAGTAGGCAGGGGTCTTTAAATTTAATTTGTCCAAAGTATAAAAGAAAATCAGGTGCTAGGACGTTTCGAGTGTCAGCTACCACATTTTGGACTTCACTTCCCTATGAAATTAAGAGTAGCTCTAGTTTAGAAATTTTAAAGAAGTCTCTATATAAATATGTTTTGGATTCCTATAAAGATGTTCATTACTTTACTATAGCTTAGTCTATTCTACCTTACTCTCATGTATTTTATATTCTTAGATAATTCATATTTTTTAATTGTTTAATCATCTAGTTTCAGTTAGCTCATTATTTATATGTACTTGTGTATATTTTTAATTTGTTTTTGAGAGCCACGCGTTTATGAGTAATTTATGCTGTCAAGTGTTACCCTCGCAAAATTAAGTTGAGTATTATTATCATTAGTCAACTACATGTCACGTTGCTAGATATGATATAACGGATGGAGAAATCTACAATGTCCTTCATACTCCATACCAGCACCCACCGTTCATAAGCCCACACCAAATCCCCTTACATAACTTTACAAGCCCAGAAACTTGTAACTGCGATTCTATGGTAACACAAAGTATATTTAGGTGCATCTTTAGGGCAAATGGAGCTGGATTATTTTTGGAAAAGAAAATTTGAGAGGAGAAGTGAAATATTTATACTGTAAATTGCCGCGGTGATAGTCACGCCAGTCATACTCATAGTTGAGTGTTAGTTATGTTTGATTAACGCTGAATTGCGCAAACAGTCTGGTAATGCAGGTTCAATTTTTTATCGCGTTATTTGCTACAAAAAAGAAAAAAAGGAAGACCGCTTACCTTTCAAAGCTATCACCTGTAGGTATCAGTAGACTACTCTTCCATACAGCAAGATTCTGGAAAAATAACTAGAACTATTTCCAGACAGACGGCGCAAAACCCACGTGGTTGTTGTAGGAAAATTATCTCTGGCCTTATCGTTTCTAAATCAGAAATGCTTGACGAGGGTGATCAATGTAAAATAAACCTGAACAATACCACGAAAAGTACAAAACAGTTTAAAACGACGAGTGGGCAAAGTACTAACGATTCAGGACTTTTTAAGAACCCGAATTTCGACACTGACACGTTTCAATGAAATCTGGCACAGATTGAAGTTTGCGCAATCAAGGCACCCTCCACCGGCAGCCTGTGTAGCAAAAGTACATGAGGAGGGTAGGGAGAAAGGGGCGCATGCAGAATAGTTTCAAATATTTAAAGGACGGAATTAAATATTGGGATTTTTAAACTTCAGGAGGATAAAACTAGTGCGTTCACTCCTATACACTATCTGGAATAGCTCGTTTTCTTAACGCTGTTTTTTCTGGTCCCGCAGCCTTTCGCAGCCGTTTTAAGTCTCCTCCCCGCAAACGGCTGCTTTGATCCAAACGGCAGGCCTACCGATCAGGTAGCAGTAAATCAACAATGACGCAGTTGTTTCCAGTCAATGCGGTACAAGATGCTGTCGATTCCGTTCACATTTCCGTTTACGTAGCTTTATTGATTACATGATACAGCCTATATTTTTGGAAAAAGTGTGCCAGTGTTATTTAATGCCAGCCATGAACGTCAATTAAACAAAAAACAAAATTAAACCGGAAAAAAATCGTCAAGATTAAAATCGGAATGCCACAAATGAACTAAGAGATGCTTAGAAGCCCGCCAACCGCAAGTTAGCAAAAAGCGTACAAAACTTGACAAACGATTTTAAAAACAGTTTCATTATGTTTATCGAGAAATTGCCGAGGATTTCAGAACCAGGGAACTTCCAAGAGCGAAAAATTTAGAAAGTTAGTTGGGATAGTGCTAGTGAATAAATGTATTTGCACAAGGAATGTGGTCCGCATCAAAGCAGCCGTTTGTGGGGACAAACGTTGCATTTAGGAAAATAGGGAGCTTAAGCAACCACGACGAAAGGGACAACGACGACGTCAAGTAATCGCGGAGGGTATGGAACGAGGACGTCGTCTTTAGCGGGAAAATGAAACTTAAGCAGAGAAGTTGCTCAAGGACGACGACGTCTAAAATCTTGTTTATTCTCGCTTCGTCAGTTTAAGAAATGACATCGTTCAGAGACGTCCAAAACCTTCTTCTTCTCACTCATGGATCAAATTTCCACCTATATATCGAAAGTTCGAGAGTAGGTTATTCAATTCTTGAACATCAACAGTCCAAGGAATTATTAAGCTTTAGCTTTATTTACAATAATT